GTTTCACCATGCTGGCCAGGCTCTTCTCAAACTCCCTGACCTCAAGTGATCCACCTGCCTCATTCTCCCAAAGTGTTGGGATTACAGGTGTAAGCCACCACGCCCAGTTTGATGTTTTGTTTTTGTTCTTGTTGCTGTTGTTGCTTTTATTTTCAGAGCCAGCCTGTCCACAGTACACATGCATTCCAACCTGTTCATACACAGCAAAAATCTAACAAAAGCAGCCTCTAGTCCTGTAATAGGAGGCAGGTGGGCGTTCAGCAGAGTAAGTCTGTCTAATTTGGTGGTGTGGTATTAGCAAGCCAACACAGCTGCAGACTTAAAGCTAATGGTTTAAATGTCCGTATGTCTCCTAGGTCTTGATTATCAATTGGTACCGAACATAGGAGGGGGGAAATTGAGTTTTCATTGTTGATTTTGTTTTCAAAGCCGGCCTGTTAGCTCTCACCAACTCCAAAAGTGGGTTTAAGTGAAGAGCTGGCAGGGTGCAGGTTCAGACTACTTGCAGCGGAGAGACCTAGTTGAGGGGGTAAGAGAGCAGAAAAGCCAGAGGAAATCCTAGAACGTTTTAACTACATGGGACCTTAGAAATTATCCATTCTTACTTCTCATGTAAGATAAAGAAGCAAAGCACTGAAGGATTTGGGTGGCTTGTTGAAGGTCACGTTACTGTTTAGCAGCAGAGACAAGACTAGAACCCAGGACACCTGGCTGTCAGCTGTGTACTCTCTGAGCAGGTGGACCAAAGAAGACAATAGTAGAGAAATATTCAAGTCCAAGAATACAGATATCACCAAGTAGAAGAATCAACCCCAGGGGTTAGTGGGCTTCAAGCCCAAGTGCTTTGTACTCACAGGAAAGCTCTGGCTTCAATCTGCCTGTCCATGTTGCCCCTTCACACAGCCAAGCCTCAAGCAACACAGCCTGCTCGGTGTGCTCAGAACACTGCTTCACTTTCCTGTGCTTTCCCTAGCGTTACTCCCTCTGCCTAGAATCCACTGCCCAGCCCAGCACCCCCCACCAACCCTGCCCAGGTGGTGAAATCCTATCTGTCCTTTAAGAGAGCCAACTCAAATGCCATTCCTCCACAAAAATGTCTCTGATTTCATCAATCAACCCTCACCACTGTGCCAACCCAAAATGATCATCCTCCACTCTGAATTCCCAAGACTTTTTATTTATTCATATGTTACTTATGGCACTTATCACTTTCTACTTTGTGTTGCGGCTAAACCTTACTTTTTGTATTAGAATATAAGCTCCTTAAGGGCAGGGGCCATACTTCATTACATGTGCTATCCTTTCATAATGCCTAGAACATGGTATACAATAAATATTTACTAAATCCATTATTTAACCAACCAACCAAAGCTCAGAAGTCATTTGTCAGGGAACATGTCACTTGTTGCAGCCTAAACATCACAGAAACTGACACTGAAGGACATCATAGAAAAATCAACCCTGCTCTTCCCCCAGAAAAAGCTCCAAATACCTCCCAACATTTTGCTTTTTTACGCACCACATGACATAATCCCATTTGGGTTCGTCTAACTCATGTAGCTTCATGTACTAATTAAGCTGTAAGACACAACAGGGCATGAATTTATTGTGCAATAATTCACACGCGGGATGTTTGCGCAGTGCTTGGGCGTGAGTTATGACACATTAATTCACGGCCTAGAGGGCCTCATTGCAATTACAGAACCATTTTTTAAATATCATCTGGGTTTAAAATACAAATATTGGTCTCCCCAGTCTTAAAACCCTTAGCCCCAAAATACAGCTAGCCTCCGTTCTCCTCATTCTGCATTACCCACTTAGCTGTTCTGATGGCAAAGAATGTACAGTCCAATCCTTCATTTTACTCCCCTAGAATCAGAGGGGCACTGTGAAAAGAGAGGAAGAGGGAGAATGGGGCAGAGACTTTATAACTATCTGCAACAGAGAGAGAGGAGCTGGTCCTTGGGTAAGGAAACACTGGAGAAATGGATCCTGTAGCCAACTAAGGGTCTATTACTAAGAAAGGAGAAGGGCCAGAAAAGACTTTTATGAATTCTTACATTCAATAAACTTTACCCAAAACAACCAGGCAAAATTCACTGCAATGTTTATGTCCATAGTTAGGAGAGTGTTATGGGTAGGGAGAGAAGAAATAAGTCACCTGGCTCAGTAACTCACAACTAAAAACAATTCCTTCTGTCTCCTCTCTCCCCAGGGTTCTGGGAGAGAAGGTGAGCTCACTTCTGCAGATTACTCTGCTCACTGGCCACACCGTGCTCTATAAACACCCTGCACCATCTGTGATGTCAGTCGCCAGCCGCCTGGAGAATCTGCCCTGCTCTGGGAGCTTGTATTAAAACACTCACTTATAACTCCCTATTAATTTTTCACGAGGAGTTATTTTTAACTCGCTCAAACCATTGTCTGAATATGCCAAATATATTTTCTTAATGAACGAGCCCGGCGTGTGGTTCCTCCTTCCCCTCCTCTCCTGCTGCTATTCAAATGGTCCCTTCCTCACGGGGCACAGGGCTTGGATGAACTATTCACAGCAATGCCCCGGAAATGAGTAGTGGGGAACAGAGAAAACCAAGACACAAGGCCCACACTTTCCTCCCTACTCAGGCTTTGGTTTTGAGAGAACTTCAGGAATTTCAGGAGACGTTTCCAGGTTTTTAAAAACAGAAAGATCAAGTCAAAATTGAAAACTCTTCTCTACAAATTATCCAAAGGGACCCTGGGGTTATCGGATCAAATCATCCCTCTACAAACCCATCCAGACTCCTTTATTTGCCATAATATTACCAGTCCCAATACTATGATTTCCTTGCAAGTAAGTGGGATAGATACACTGTCAATTTTTAACTCATGGACTTTTTCTAAACTATAAATCTGATTGAGTTGTTCCCCCACTTAAAACCCTTCCATGGTTCCCTTCTGCCGTCAGGATAAAGACTAAAGTCCTTAGCCTAGCCCTTCCCAATTTCTTCATAATTTCATTCTGCTTATTCCTCTAGCACCATCCTCTTCCCAGGTCATGCTCCTGCCATGCAGTTCCACTCACCCTGCTCCCCTGCCTCTAATCCCCCCTCGGCCCCTTCACTCAGCTGATTCCTACTTATTTTTCAATTCCCAGTTTAGAAATCGCTTCCCCAGGAAGCCTCTCCTGGCTTTTTCTCTGGATTAGGTGTCCTTCCTATATCCTCTCATAGTGTCTATACTTACCCCATTTGGCATAAATTATCAAGATTCCAGTTCAGCTGCCTGTCTCCTCCACTAGACTCTGAGTTAGGAGCTAATAAATATTTGTTGAACAAATGTACAAACAGAGAAGAGAAAGCCTGAAAGAGCAGATAATCCAAGATTCCTATCTGTTTGACTTTGAGATACATACTTTGTAGCCAAGCAACCTTTATAAATCTGAGTCAGGTAAATACATAAATGGTATTACATTCCTTGTAGAAGGCAATCAAAATGAAAAGTGTGAAGGGAAAACCAACTGTGATAAAACCTTGACCGCAGATAATTCATGGCATGTATAAGCCACACGTAGGTGATAAAGAATTGTTTGCCGTTATGGATGCCTGTTTTAGAAATATCAGCCTGCCTTGGATTGCAGGGAACCATCTAACCCTCAGTTAGCGGGTCCCTACTTATCTGAAGGCATCATGCTCAGCTCTCCGTAGGACATCCCCTAAGCCAGAGGTTGTCACTCGAGGGGCCATAATTAAGATACCTGGGGAACATTTTCACACTTCATGTCCTTACCCTCTGGAGATTCTTTTACAACTACCCCCTTACTTCTTGTGACCGCTCTAAACCATCCCAAATGACAAGAACCTGTCCTAGATTTAAAAGGGACAAGACTCTAAAACTTTCCTTCACAGGAAGGCAGCGTAGTTTAGTAGTTAAGAGTAAGAGCTCTGTAGATAGACTGCTGGGGTCAAAGCTCAGCTCAACCACTTCATAGTTACATGAGTTTGGACAGATTCTTATCCTTATTTTTTATTTTTATTTTATTTTATTTATTTATTTATTTATTTTTTTGAGACGGAGTCTCGCTCCGTCGCCCAGGCTGGAGTGCAGTGGCGCGATCTCAGCTCACTGCAACCTCCGCCTCCAGGGTTCAAGTGATTCTCCTGCCTCAGCCTCCTGAGTAGCTAGGATTAAAGGTGCCCACCACCACGCCCAGCTAATTTTGTCTCTGGACAAATTCTTTACCCTCTATGCGCTTTAGTTTCCACAACTGAAAAATGGGAGTAAATAAACTTCATAGGGTTGCTGAAGATCAAATGCAGTAATGCTTGAAAAGTACTTAGCTCAGTACTTAGCAAAACAATATGTACTTAATACAATCTACCTAATACTTAATATTAAAATTTGATCTAAAGTCCTCCAACTTTGAAAATGAATTCATCTTTGTAAATATCTAGCCTCAAAATCACCCACTGAAATTTGAGCCTGTTGGTTGGCCCTCATGAGAAAATAAAAACTGTTTTATTCTATATAATTTACCTTGAATCTCTGAGAACTCTAGCCAGATACCCTCAGGCCTGCTACTGGTAAACACTTTGGAGGGTCCTAGCCTTATTGAGTTAGAGCAGGCATTGAAAAGGCCAAGGCTCAGCCAGGCACAGTGACTCATGCCTGTAATTCCAGCACTTTGCAAGGCCAAGGCAGATGGATCACCTAAGGTCAGGAGTTCGAGACCAGTCTGGGCAACATGGTGAAACCCAATCTCTACTAAAAAATACAAAAAATTGGCCGGACATGGTGGCAGGCACCTGTAATCCCTGCTGCTCAGGAGGCTAAGGCAGGAGAATCATTTGAACCTGGGAGGTGGAGGTTGCAGTGAGCCAGGATCATGCCATTGCACTCCAGCCTGGGTGACAGTGAGACTCCATCCCCCCCACCAAAAAAAGAAAGAAAAGGATAAGGCTCAAATATTATAGTAAAAATAATAACTGACATTTATTGAACATTTATTATGGGCACTACATTGAGTATTTTACCTGTGCTTCCTCACAACAATTCTAAGAGACAAGTCCCATTGTTGTCTTCATTGTGTTTATTAGAAAACTGAGGTTTAGATAAGCCAAGAACTCGTACAAAGTCACACAGAGAACAAACGGTTGTGCCAGGATTTGAACAAAGACTGTCTGATGCCAAAACTCAAGTGAACTCCTATGCCATGCTGCCCTCCTTCCCTACTGCTTTGTTAGGATTGTACACAAGTTTCCTTCAACACCCCAATTCCTAAAATGGACAGCGATTGAGAGGGAGGTCACAGTTTCCCTTTAGTGGCTCCTTGGACCTCAAGAATTCTGTCTTCTGCCCAGCCAGCCCTAAAAGGAAGAAATGATAAAAAGAGGAACACAGCATGAACAGTAATAATAATCATACATTTGTTTCATATTATTTCTGGAAGAGGCAGTACTGGGTAGTATAGTAGTAAGAGTAAAGAATATTGAGTAATTTTCTGGAGGGGAGCCATAGCTCTTCTACTTAACTATATAAATTTTGATAACTTGCTTAATCTCTCTAAGCCTCAGTTTTCTTATCCATAAAATGGAAATGATAATATTTGCCTTACAGGATCAATATGAGAAATAAATGAGAAGATGCAAACTATCACACACTGCTGGTGAGGGCCTCCATCCTGATACAGTCTTCATGGAATTAAACGTGCACACACTCTCTAACCAGCAATCCCACTCCTAGGTATACACCGCAGGAAAACTCTCTGGGTTCATAAAGAGGCCCAGATAAGGATATTTATCACAGCACCATTTGTGGTAGTAAAAAGTTGGAGGCAACCCAAGTATCTATTACTAGGTGAATATGTAATAAAATCTACTGTATGAGCATAGCGGTCAGAAATAATGAAGTCGATTTCCATACAGCAACATAGATAAGGCTCAGAAACAATGTTTAGTGGAAAAAGTAAAAGCAGGATAAACCATATAGCACAATGTCATTTATGTACATTAAAAAGCCATCAAAATGACACTATATTTTTTAGGGATACAGATAGATCTATTTTAAAATGTAAATCAGATCATGTAATTCCTCTGTTCAAAACCTTTCCCTGGTTTCCCTCCTTATTCAGAGTATAAGCCAAGATCTGTGCTTACAGTGGTCCACAAAGTCTTACACGTTTTGCCACTGACCCAGCTACCTCCCAGCCTGCTGTTTCTCTCTCTTTTCTCACTCATTTTGCTCTGGCCATTGGCCTAAACTGACCCTTCTGGCCTCCTAACATACCAGGCAAGACCTGCCTTAGGGCCTTTGTACTTGCTGTCCGCCCACATCTGAACCGCTCCTACCCTAGATGTCCACATGGCTGGTCCTTAATGTGCATTTGGTGCACCACACCTTTTCAATGAGGCTTTCTTACATCACCCTGTAGAAAGTGGCAATCTGCTCCTGACCACCCACAACACAACGTATCCCCTGCCCTGATTTTTTGTTTCCATAGCACCTATCACTATTTAACATATCCACTCATTTATTTGTTCACAATCATCTCATCCCACTAGAACGTCACCCCACTAGAACGTAAGCAACACAAATGCAGGTTTTGATTGTTTTGTTCACTGCTGTGAACACCTACAACTGTGCACCTACAACTTCTCAGCACCTGCAACTCTGTTCAACACATAGCAGGCACTTTATATTTGGTGAATGGCTGAACGTCTCTAAATAAACATATAGAGTATGGATTGGAAGAGCACTAACTAAATATATGAAACAGATAGCTCCCACAAGAAAAGGAAATGAGAAATAGAGGTGAGGGGTGAAAGGGAAAGATAGAAGGAAGTAAAAAGGGGCCTCACATGAACTGATGATGCCGGCGTGCTGTGAACAGGGCTTGGTGAGTAACTCAGTTCTGTGCACTTGAGCTTCCACAAAGGAATTGCATGAGATAATGTTGTGAAAGGACACTTCTGATTCCCTCAACTTTATCACACAGGATGGTCCCTGGGCCCTTCCCACTTTTGCTGAAGATAAAACTGGACATACAAAGAGTGAAGATACAAGGCAAGCAGCTTAAACAACAAAACATATGGGAATTAAATAGTCATAACCCATGACTCAAACAGAAGCATGCAGAACAAACAAATAAACAACCAGACTGACAGAAGAAAAAGCAAGCACATGATAGGGAATCCTGAGAAAGCCTAACTGCAGCCCAGTGTCTAACAATAAAGAGAAACATCTTCCTTGAATGCAATTCTCAGGAATATCTTTCCCTGTGCAATAATCTGCAATTATTCTAACGGTTTATATTCAGTCTGGGTTCTTCAAACCAGCTGTCAGAGCCCCTTCCTAATCATGCCCACCTCTACCCTCAAGCCTATCACCTCACTCCTAACTCAGCTCCTCACATTGTGACTTACCCTGCATGCAGCAAGACTTTGGCCTGCACCAGTTACTGGCCTGGCCGAGGGGTGCCCTCCTCACTCCTTTCTATCTGGTCTTGACTCTCTAGCTCTTCTCAATCCTATTCTACAATCTTTCCCCCACTTCTAGAAGCCTTCCCTATGCCATCCTGACTGGTTTCCCCATCTCCAACCTTCCTTCCCATTTCATCAGCACTGACAGCTAACCCTGATGCTCAGCCGAAATTAGTTTTCCCTTTCTGTCTGATGGTGTCCTGGGTATGTCCCTTAAATTCCTTTATAGTCTAAAAGCCTCCAGAGGGCAGGGCCATGATCTGTGTACCTGTTCCTTCCGAATTCCATGCTCCCACCACCAACCCTTGTTACCCAGGACAAGGATCTACTCAATTGTACTGAGCAACCAAAAGAGACACTCAGGACAGAGAAAATAAACACATAACTATATTGATTAACAACTATGTCTTAGGATGCCTAGAAGTAGGATTTTTTTTTTTTTTTTGAAAGAGAGAAAGGGCCAGATAGAGGTGGGAACAGGAGACTAGAACACACACAACCTTCTATTTAAAGAGCGTTTCCTAAGGATATTTCCTAATAAGGGCCCTGGGTCTGTGGATCTCAGTTTAATTAGGAAACAGTCTCTCCCGAAGGAGGTGCTTGGCCCAGGGGAGGTGCTTAAAGAAATACAGAGAAAGGCCAGAGAACATGAAGCCAGCTTGTATGAATTCCATCATGCCCCTGGCTCTCTCCTTCCCTTCCTCCTCCTCCCTGTGTTTCTCTCATTCTCTGAGCTCTTTCCAAACTCCAGAACAAAAGTTCCATCCCAAGTAGCCAAGAAGAACTCATGTCGAATCCAACAATCCACCCACTAAATTGAAGGCTGTCTTGTTTTCCCAGCCAACCCCACCCACTCTGCTTCATCCTGGAGGTCATTGTGTTCATTCCTTTGTCTCTAAGAAGGGCACTGCCCTCACTCAGGACCTTTCCTTTTCAAAACATTTTTCCAAGGAAGTAAGTTCCATTGGTTCCCCTGCTTGGGTGCTAACAACCCTGCCAATCTGGAAGTTTGGCCTCATGGCTCCTGCCGAACAACTTCAAATAGAATGTGGACACAAAGTGCTCTTCTAGAAACTTGATAAACATTCATGAGAGGAAAGCTATGGAGCTGCTACATAATTACTTCAGGTCTCAAAGTTTCCAAGAAGTGGACTTGAAAATGCAACATCTCCTAGAGATGATATCAATGTCTTTGCATGTAAATACAACTCCTTTCTTGATCCCAAATTATGTAAGTTTGCTTCTCCTTAAAATTTCCGGAGAATGAAAACTCTGGAACCAATCAAACCAATGTCTCAAAAAAAAAAAAAAAAAAAAAGTAAAGGTTTCTGGATATCTAAGCTTTCCCAGAGTTTCCAAAGCCCTGACTCAAGCACCTCTGCAATTATGGTTGGAGGCAATCAGAAATACAAGAGTAGAGGCTTTGTGTTCAAGGCGACCACTTTAAATAATAATAACCACGGCATATGCAGTGCACTAACAGTTCTAAATTGGAAACAGTTCAAAACACATAAGAAAAGGTAAACTGTATAAAAGCCATCATGAACACGGGGTCTGAGTTATATATCCAAGGTCTAGAAGAAATCAGTTAAGGCTAAACGAAAAACAGAATCTTCTCATATTATCTTTCTGTGTATGCCTTCTCTAGAAGTCTATGTCTAGTCACAGTTCCTCATTCATTCAACAAATATTTACTGGTCCTCAACTATTCAGCACTGGGGATACAGCAATTAAAACACACACAAAAAAAAATCCCTCCACTTAAGTCACTCACATTCCAGCAAGAAGAGGCAAATGATAAACAAGTAGTAAGAATACATATTGTGTTAGGCTGGGCGCGGTGGCTCACGCCTGTAATCCCAGCACTTTGGGAGGTCAAGGCGGGTGGATCACGAGGTCAGGAGATCGAGACCATCCTGGCTAACACAGCTGAAACCCCGTCTCTACTAAAAATACAAAAAAATTAGCCAGGTGTGGTGGTGGGCCGCCTGTAGTCCCAGCTTACTCTGGGAGCTGAGGCAGGAGAGTGGCATGAACCCAGGGAGGGCGAGGGCTTGCAGTGAGCCAAGATCACGCCACTGCCACTCCAGCCTGGGCAACACAGCGAGACTCCAGTCTCAAAAAAAAAAAAAAAGAATATATATTGTGTTAGATTGTGGTTTGTGCTGTAGAGAAAAGTAAAGCAAGTAAAGGTTAGGATATGCTCAGGATGGGAGTTGAGATTTTAAAACAAGTGGTCCAAGAAGGCCTCGCTGAGATGACACTTCACCAGCAGCCAGGAGCAGGTGCAGGAAAAAGCAATGGTGCAGATCTCTGAGAAGTGCAAATATAAAGACTCTGGCCATTGTTTATTGTGGTAAAATGTACATAACATAACATTTACCATTTTGACTGTAAATGTGGCCTTAGGCCAGGCATGGTGGCTCACACCTGTAATCCCAGCACTTTGGGAGGCCAAGGCGGGCAGATCTTCTGAGACCAGGAGTTCGAGACCGGCCTGGGCAAACATGGCAAAACTCCGTCTCTACAAAAATAGAAAAATTAGCCAGATGTGGTGGCAAGCACCTGTAATCCCAGCTACGCAGCAGTCTGAAGTGGGAGAATAACCTGAGCCTTGGGAGGTCAAGGCAGCAGTGAACTGTGATCATGCCACTGCACTCCAGCCTGGTGATAGAGCAAGACCTCGTCTCTAAAGAAATAAAAATATAAAAGGCCGGGCACGGTGACTCACGCTTGTAATCCCAGCACCTTGGGAGGCCAAGGCAAGTGGATCACGAGGTCAAGAGATCGAGACCATCCTGGCCAATATGGTGAAACCTCGTCTCTACTAAAAATACAAAAATTAGCTGGGCGTGGTGGTGGGCACCTATAATCCCGGCTACTTGGGAGGCTGAGGCCGAAGAATTGCTTGAACCCAGGAGGCGAAGGTTGCAGTGAGCCGAGATCATGCCACTGCACTCCAGCCTGGGCAACAGAGTGAGACTCCGTCTCATAAATAAATAAATAAATAAATACAGCATTAAATACATTCACATGAGGGTCAATCATCATCACCATCCACCTCCAGACCTTTGTCATCTTCCCCAACTAAAACTCTGTGTCCATTAAACATTAAATTCCCATTCCCTCCTGCTCCCATTCCTCAGAAACTACCACTTTATTTTCTGTCTCTATGAATTTGACTATTCTGGGTACCTCATATAAGTAGAATCATACAATATTTGTCTGCTTGTGTCTCGCTTATTTTATTTAGCATAAAGTCTTCAAGAGTATCCATGTTGTAGCATGTATTAGAATTTTCTTTCTTTTTTAGAGTGACTAATATTTCTCTCTATGTATATACTACATTTTGTTTATCCGTTTGTCTATCTATCAATAGACACTTGGGTTGCCGCCACCTTTTGGCTACTGTGAATAATGTTACTATGAACGTGGGTGTACATACATCAATTTGAGTCCCTGCTTTCATTTCTTTTGGATATACTCCCAGAAGTGGAATTTCTGGGTCATATAGTAATTCTAAGTTTTTTTTTTTTTTAGGAATTGCCAGTTTACTGTTTTCCACGGTGGCTGCACCATTTTACCTGCCAACCAGCAGTACACAAAGGTTCCAATTTCTCCACATTCTCGCCAACACTTGCTATTTTCTGTTTTTTTAATAATAGCCATCCTGATGGGTGTGGAACGGCACCTGACCATCTTGGGTTGGCACAGAGTGAGATAGGAAGAAGTAGGAGGGGATGAGGTCAGAGAAGATTCAGGAGGCCGGATCATTCATGGAGGGCCATAGAGGCACTGTGAGGACTTTGACCTTCACACTGGGAATCATGGAAACCCTAGATGAAGTGGCAGTTTTGCATATTGGCTACTGATTGTCATGTTCTTTGAACTAAGTATTTGGTTCTCAAACTAGGGAACAGGCCTCCTCCAGAGTTTGAAAATACAGCACAGAAATGGGTTCTGCAGAGTTCTCCACAGACATCTCATGGTTCTGACAACAAAGTGAGAGCTAAACAAGCTGAGGCCCTCTCACACCAGCCTCCCTCTCCAGATGCTATACACCAACCCATGGGAGATTAACATGATGGATTACTTTCATCCAGGATGTTCACTTTATGGATTATCTTTAGCCAGGATTCAATCACTTAAAAAAACAATAATCTTTGTCTCATTCAGTATTTTGGATTATCTCCTCCATTTTTCTGGGTAACCAAGAGCTGATATGGAGATGAAGGGTACTTTTTCCCAGAAACTGGTGAAATTAAGGACTGCAAAGACAAAGGCAGGTAGATTCTCAGAAAAGGGGCAGGAACAGTGTGAATCATGCACTCACCAGCCCTGCAAAATTAAATAGACGAATTCAGTCCCAAGGCCTGGATGCCTCAGCAAGGATTGTCAGAAATGTCTGAGATGATCAGAGCTAGGGAGAGAAAGGGCCCCAGAGGGAAGCCTGAAAACACATTTTTGAGAGGCAGAGAGTACCTCTCATAACCTCACTTCCCCCAGGCGACAGGGATGAAAGCTTCTACATCAAAATGAGAAGTCCAAGGAGTTATAGATTTTCTCAACAATAAATAATCTGGAGAGAATGGCCGCCCAACCACCGTTTATAAATGCTAGAAAATACACACTTGTGTGTGGTGAGGGCAGGGGGATGGAGAGTGGAGAAAGAGAGAATTATGGAGTTGTCCCCTCTGGGAGAGGAGGAGGGCCAGAAATCAATTTTCACTATGGCATTCTTAAGATTCAAATGGGGGCTAGGAGAGGGAAGTATGGTCAAATCTGGAAACCTAAATGACTAATTTTTCTCAGTAAGGAAACAGGCCAGGTACTCTATGATTCTGTGTGCTATTTTTCTTTCCATCTGAGGACCACCTCGTTCATCCTCCTGTCCCTATGCAGTATGAACACCACCACCGCCCGCCCCAGAAACTCCATGGGCTTCCCTCAAGCCATAGTCCCTCCCTCATACTCCTTCTCTGTGGTCTCATTAAAGAAGTCTTGGGTTACCCTTTTCAGCCCAAAGATTTATAATAAAAATGAAACTAGGATTTAGGAGAAGACTGCTCTTCTCCCTCTCTTCAGGTAGAAAAATAAGGGACCTACATGGCAGTGAAAGTTTTAGGTCATTCATTCAGTAAGTATTAAGCACCTACTCTATGCCAATCGCTGTGCTTGATGCTAAGAACACAACAGGGAGGGGAAAGACATGTTCCCTGTCTACATGGCACTGTCTTTAAAAGTGTTCTTACCTAATCCAAAAGTGCCAGAAACGCCTAATCTGAACTAATGATGAAAACAATCCGTCAAATTCAGACCCAGTGACTTTCTACAAAACAACTGACTGGTACTCTTCAAAACTGTGAAAGCTATGAACAACAGGCTAAGGAATGATTCCAGATTAAAGGAGAATAAAGAGGCATGATAACAAAATACAGTGCATAAACTTGAATTGGATCAGACTAGGAAGAAACATTTTACTAGAAAAAAAATTATTCGGCCAGCACAGTGGCTCACACCTGTAGTCTTAGCAGTTTGTGAGGCCGAGGAGGGCTAATCACTTGAGCCCAGGAGTCTGAGACCAGCCTAGGCAAGATGGTGAAACCCTGCCTCTACAAAAATAAAAAATTTAGTCTGACATGGTGGCATGTGCCCGTAGTCCCAGTTACTTGGGAGGCTGAGGCAGGAGGTTCACCAGAGCCCAGGAGGTAGAGGCTGCAGTGAGCTATGATCATGCCACTGCACTCCAGCGTGGGCAATAGAGTGAGACCCTGTCTCAAAAAAAAATTATTAGACAATTAGCAAAATTTGAATAGGCACTGTTTTATATATGTGTGCATATATACATATATGTATATATGAGACAGAAGGGTAGAGCACACAAATGTGGCAAAATATTAGTAACTGGCCAATCTTGGTGAAAAATGAATGGGTATTAATTATACTATTTTACAACTTTTCTGTAGGTTAATATTTTTCAAATTAAAAGGTTAGGAGGAAAATAAGAATGTTCCAACAGTAAAGGTTATGGATTTTTCTTCTCTCAATGATCTTTATAAACAAACTTGCCATCATTTTTTGATTGGAAGGAAATCCTATCCAGAATGATCTAGCCCTGAATCAAGAACTTTAGATCAGAGAGGTGGGTAGGAAGATTGAACTCCTTTGTCTTTGATTTACAACCAAAATTGTCAGCGAGTAAAAATGCCTGGAAAGAAACCACAGCCTTGACTCATGTTAGTATGGTTATAAAAAGTACATACTGTTATTGCCATTTTGTGGGACTAACACAAATTAATAAATCAGAGCTCTAGGCTTGAACGCTAAGAAGCATTAGGGAAGACGTGCAGAGGCTGGAGACAGAGCAAAATATCTGGCAAATGGCATACCAGGGATAGAATTATGTGCCAAAATTAGGGTTACGTGGAAAGAGGGGTGAAAGGAACCAGAACGTGTTGAGTTGCAAGCAAGGTTCCTATGCTGTTTCATTTAACCCCTATATACCCAATGAGAGAAGTATTATTATTCGATCTTGAAGATTAACAGAGGTTAAATAACTTTTTCAAGATCATATAGCCAGTAAACAGAAGAGTTAGAATTTGAACATGGCTCTTCATGAATTCAAAGCCCATGTTCTTCCTACTGTGGCACCCAGTCTCCATAAAGAATAAGGAGTCTAAGGGCATGGCTATTAAAAGAGGATTTGAACCAGTTCTTACTTACCCTTATGCCCAGGTCATCCCCTGCCAATGCCTTCTCTTTCCTCGCATATAGACACTGATGGACCAGAGCTGGAAGAGAGAAATCATTAAATCTGGAAGTTCCATCTAAACCATTTCCTGCTAAAATTCTAATCCAATCAGGTGCCAAAATGTCTCCAGACAATCTTTTTAGATGCCAAGAAAGGAGATTCCAAAGCATCCCTGTAACTATTCCAATAGTTCATAGACACAATTTTACATCTAATTATAATTCCTACTCCCACAACTTTAATCCATTGCCTTTTGCTTGGTTTTTAGTGAAAAATACAGGATAAAAGATCTCTAGATGCCAAATATAAGTAACCCCTCTGAGACTTCTTCCATCACACTGTTCTTTCATCATATTTCAAATCTTGCCTACTCACTACCTCATTCTTGAGAAGAAAAAAACCATCTTCAGTGCAGGTTAGGAAGTGCTAGAGAAGGAAATGAAAGCTTGATTTTCACTGGCCAAAGGAAAATGGGGTGTTGGGAAGGGAAGCGGGTATTTTTTTTTTATGGTAGCCCAATGGCAGGAAAATGGTTGCAATTTCCCTGACAATCTACATACCTCCAGATTTGGCCTTCCCAAACCTCAGCAGTCACCTAAGGCTTCCAGATGCTACCGGCACACACCGTTAGGAAACATCTGTCACAAAGAACAGCCCCAACTGGGACAAAGGAGAGTAGGAAGGCAGACGGTGCCAGTTTAATGAGGATGGTTTAACAAAACAGCTTTTAAGCTTTCTAATTCACTTGGCCATTTGCTCCCCAGACTTGGCTGCCAATCAGGAGTAGACTGTGGGGGGATGTTTGCCAGAGAATGGCAATCCCTGATCCTTAACTCAGGAGAACCCAGTACCAGAAAAATGTCAACTTGTCAGTCATTCTAAAACATGATTAATCCCATTCCAGAGCTAACAATTCATGGTGATACTGGGGAGAAGGACTTGAGCTACGTGAGGTTGCTCGGTCTGGTTTGGTTGTTCTTGACAGCCAGAGGCCTTACTTAGCAGAATATCAAAAACAGGTATTAGGACATGCCCCATGTCCATGTCTAGCTCTGAGCTCATGACAACTAGAGCATTTCTAATATTTATTAATCATTCATGGAAAAAGCATAAAGACCAATGGATATGCGGCATCAACACTGATCTCTTAGCCTTTCTGTTTTTAGATTGCCTCATTCTTTTTTAAGGTTATTAAAGGATATGAACTTGAGATAAGAAATAATGGGTTTTCTCAACATGCTATCAGTATAGGAAAACCCACGAAGAAGATAAATTACTTTTCCATTTCAGTTTCCAGGGGGAGAATGCCCCAGATATGGCCAAAGACAAGGGGATTGACAAAGCAGCCTCAAAGGATCCTGACTTTATTCAGAGGTGTTGCATGAAAATTTGGATTAAACCTAAGGAATCCCAGCTGAAATCACTGGTTTCAGATATATGTGGATCATTATCCTAGGCCTGAATTCAACCTAGCCAACATGCCATTTTTCCCACCAGAACTCTATCCAGTAGATTCCTACAGTTTGCAAAGACTGCATCCCAACCTCCCGCTATACTCCCTGATCCACCCTCCTGGCCTTTAACATTGGTAACTCTAAACAATAAGATCCTCACAGATTTCACTCAGATTCACCCCAGCAACCATCAGAGAGTGCTGCTCTTCTCTGAAGCAGGCTACAGCCCTAAATCACATTCACCGCAATTGCTGCATTACAGCAGATAACTGAAGTGTGAGTGCCCTCTACCCTCCTTCTGGAAAATGACACTTTCTTCAAGGATTGAAAGCAACACACACACACACACACACACACACACACACACACACACACACACACACCCTGTACCTTCTTCCTACCAGACCTGCAGTTTTCTGCTCTCTGTTAAATCCAAACTTTTAAGATAGTATTTCCAGATCTTTCTTTTCATTGTTCCTCTAAACCTTACTCTTATTATTAACCTTTCCTGTGGCTCTTTGCTGAAACAGAACAAATCTTTCCCCATATATGAACATCTTGCTATCATCGCCTCAACCATCACATGGACAGTCCCTCTCTGCCTCGAACACCCTTTTTCCAAACTGTTCAACATGCCCCTTCTTCAGGAAGCATCTCTAACCACACCTACGGATATCTGACCTTTCCGCTATGCCCTGTTTGCCTGCTCTCATCCCCTCATTACTGTCCAGAATTCTGTCCATTTGCTCCTAAATTCTTTCCTTGCTGCACTGCCAGTGTCTGTGCCTTGATTATGTGTCCAGCCTCCTCCATCAGACTGACATCCTCTCCTCCCCCTTCCTTTGGATTAGTCGGCAGTGAATATGAGTCTCTTGCACAGGAGGTTTTAGGACAGAATGGCATAACTCACTGGCCTAGAACTTTGCACTGGGAAAACGCCTTGGTTTGGCATTTCCTTGGTTAGGGAAAAGGGTAGCAGTGATAGATGGTTAGGTGCAGCGAAGTAGCACAGCTCCTGCCTGATGATGCTTTCAGCTTGCCTGTCCTTCCCCAGCTGAAGCCTGAGGTATAAAGTTAACTGGCCACAGTCAAGGAAGCACCCCATGATCTACAGCCCAATGTGGGGACATCAGAGATAATGAAACAAGAATGCAGGTCCAAGTCTCTTCCATACCACAAAGTGAAAATGTAAAGGTAGTAACCCAAACTGGCTGGGACAAAAGATGTTATCTGCGACACTTACTATTGGCTCCCGTGTCATTCCCCTTGATGTCCAATGACCAAACTGACAAACAATACAGTTTTATTACTTTCATTGCTTTACTTAATTGTGAAAATAAGTCACCTAATACTTTGGCATTAGGCAACCTGTTGTGATACTCAAACTGCAATAAAGAAATCTCAGCTTAGACTGCAGAAAGGAGGGGTGCTCCAATAATCAAATGGTTGAATATTGTTTAGAATAGGGTTTTCATTTGTTTTGGGAGGATGTGGAAGTGTCCATGAAGTACTCTTATATTGTAAGCTCTCAGAAAAGAGAATTTTCTCTGTTTACTACCATTTTTCCTGTACTGTCTATAAATAAATTCACAGATAGATTCTGTTTAGTTTGGGTTGGGTCTATAGTGAGAAATTGGATGACCTCTATGTGGTTTGGTGTTTCCCTCAGGTGGATACCACTAAAAGTTTCTAAGTAACAAAGGCTGGATTCAAACTACTGAAAATCAGATTTAAACTAAGTGTAAGTGAATACAAAGACAAATTCCAAATTAGAAAATTCCAGCACCAAAATGATTCCTTTTGCAAAGGAATTCAAGCAAAAGCAATGTCTTTTTTCCCCTAAATTATTATCACCACCACAACCACCACATCACCACACACTCACACACAATGCAAGACAAATGGTAGCAAATAAAGAATTCCCCTCTTTAGGAGCTTACATTTAAGAGATTTTCTGCTACTTCCCCACTCCTCAAAATAAGTAAAATATATATAAGCCATGGGCTGGAAAGCATAATCCTCAATCAGAAATACACAGTAAAGTGTTTATATCAGAGGCAAGGGCATTCCAAGATCCCAGATGACATCATAGTTGACAGAAGATGTGAGCAGGAAGGGCTTCATTTTTCGGTGTTGGCAAGATTAGGGAGTATCTTCCCTGCACCTCAGGCCAGTCTGAGAAACCCTCACGGAGGAGGGGGTAATTGCTCCATATGGGGATTTGGTTTCCCTGGGAAACATCAGTTCAACCTACATCTTCATGATAGTAAGAAGCTTGGGCTATGAGCCAATAAAGCAAATCTCACTTAGGCCTTCCTTCCATGCCTTCCATCAAAAACAAAAGAATAAAGACAAATAAACTCTACATATGCTTTGAACCAGTAAATCCAGTTTGCTCAACTATATAGATCCAGTTAAATGTTTACTACAGATTCTAATACAAATCTAAATACCAAAATATAATAATAATAATTCTCAGTCTTGGTCTGTGCTGAAAAGGAAAATAGAAACAATATCAGTAGTAATAAGTGTGTTACCTCTCCGTAAGGAAAGAGAAGTAAAGTTGAGATGGCTTCCCCAAAAGGTTGGAAAGAAAGCTGAAGCAACCAAATCTAGCTCATACTAAAGAAAATAAATGTCCAAGCTTATCTCCCAGGAGTCTTCTGGGAATGACCTGAGCAAACTGACTCCTTACCAGGCATCTTCCCACACCCGTGAACTTTCTGCATCCTGCATTCTGTCTGAATGATACTTGAGAGAATATTTTGTCTCCCTATCTAAAATTAAAACTCCTTAGGGTAGAAACTGTTTTATGTTCACACACTAAGCTAGAAATTAAAATTCTGCAATAAATATTACTAGCTCAACCAAGTCTTGAACTTGAAAATTATGACAGCCCCCAAACTGCTCAGGAGACCAAGGGGAAACACAGCTGCCTCCTCCAATTCACCTGCCTACCCTACCACCCCAGCACTGCAACTCTTAAATCTCATTCTAGCTGGGCAGAGGCCGAATTCCAAGAAACCCATTCCGATGTAGACCAAACCGCTGCAGGCCAAATGTACACCAAAATCATGTAGACAAAATCTATCCAGATGTAGACAAAATTCATCTAGATACAAACCAAAATAGTTTTGCTTTCTTCCCTCCATATTATGCAGTCCCAGTTACATGCAGACACTACACTAGTACCATTGTGCTATGATTTGGGTAAATAATCAGACAGCCAAAGCTTCTCTAGAGGCTATGTAATCTTCCTATTATCCAGTGTCATTTCGGAATGGTTGTGAATAAGGTGGCTTTTCTGAGTCTCTCTGGAACAACTTCAGAGATGGCAGAGTCAAATCCGAGTCTCTTCATTCAAGATTTGACACATTCACAGGTTTAGTTTTAGTTAGAATCCAATTTTGGAAATTCTTAACAATTCTATCACACCAGAAAAAGATATCAACTTGACAAATCAGAAAAGCCTGGGCTTCTGCTTCTAGAGCTCTTCAGAAACTAGATGGGCTACCAGGATGAATCAGATTTAGATTCTCCAAACAGAATCACAGTGAGAACTGGGAAAAGCCAGGGAGGGTGTAAA